GCAGATTTATTCACTAAATCTTTGCCAACTTCAACTTTTGAGAAGATGGTATACAAGATTGGAATGCGGAGACTCAAATATTTGAAACAAGGTTTTCATCAGGGGGAGTAAAATACCCGATGTACTCTTTTTTCCTTACTAAGATTTTTTTCCACAGAGTTTTCCTTATAAGGTTTTTAATGAGGCATCTAGAAATGCGTATTACTAAATATGTATACTCTTTTTCCTTCACTAGGATTTTTCCCACTTGGTTTTTCCTAGTAAGGTTTTAATGAGGCACAATACCTTTTAATGAACATCCAAGGGGGAGTGTTATGAAAATAATTATATTGTGGATGTTCATTTATTACTCCGCTATAGATAATCTTCCTGAAGAAGATTATCCATTTAGTACTCTGTTGAAGTTTATCTACAAGCAGCTGATGCAGGCAGGTTGCAAGCAGCTCAATGAAATGATTTGCAGCAGCTTCTTATTAAACAGGCAGGTTGCAAGCAGCTCATGCAGACAGCTTACAAGCAGCTAAAGAAAAGCCTTGCAGCTGCTTCCTGAAAAGCCTCGCAGCTGCTTCCTTTCTTCTATAAATAGAGGAGTTTTCAGTTCATTATGTACATGAATTTGAAGTTGAATAATATATCAGTTTCTCTCTATACTTGTCTTTACTTTACAGTCTTTATTTTATAACAAAAAAGAATATTTAATGTCTAGGTTCATTCTTTTTGTTTAGTTGCATTTCAACTTCATTTTTGTATTGCTTGAATTCCTCAATTGCTTCATTTTTACTATTAAGTAAGTAAATATAGCAATATCTAGTACTGTGTCAATAAAAGTTATGAAATACTTTTTTTCACCGCGAGATGGTATTGACTTCATGTCTCATATATCTGTGTGAATTAAGTCTAAAGGATTTGAATTCCTTTCAACTGACTTATAAGAATGTTTAACATACTTTGATTCCACACATATTTGACATTTCGAGTTATTGCATTCAAACTTAGGCAATACTTCCAAATTAATCATTTTTGCAAAGTTTTGAAGTTGACGTGGCCTAATCGTTCATGCCATAAATTAATTGACTCAAGCAAGTAAAAAGAAGCTAAAATTATATTCATATCAATGGAAATTACATTGTGTTTGAAAAGGCCCTCTGTAAGGCAGCCTTTTCCTACATACATTTCATTCTTACTAACAACAACCTTGTCGGAAACAAAAGCATACTTATAGTCATTCTTGACTAGAAGTGATGTCGAGACTAAATTCTTCCGCATTCCAGGAACATGAAGGATATCATTTAGAGTCACAATCTTGCTAGAAGTCATCTTCAAAGTTATCTTGCCCGTTCCTTCAATTTTTGCAGTAGCGGAATTTACCATAAAAACTGTCTCGTTGGGTCCAACGGGAACATAAGAAGTAAACAACTCCTTGTTAGCACAAATATGACGAGTTGCCCCCGAATCAATCCACTATTCTCTAGGATTTCCGACTAGGTTGCACTCCGAAATCATGGCACATAAATCTTCTATTTCATCATTCTTCTCAATCATGTTGGCTTGACTTTTTTTCTTGTCCTTCTTTTGTGCACGACATTCAGCAGCCTTGTGTCCAACATTTCCATAGTTGTGGCAATTACCTTTGAACTTCTTTTTTCTTGGGTAATTCTTTGGACCAGACGACTTCTTTCTCTTTTTGCTCGTTGAAGCTTCCTCAACAATATTTGTACCCATAATTGTTGAATTTTCACGAGACTTCTTCTCAGCAGCCTTGTTGTCCTCTTCAATCCGTAGACGAACAATAAGGTCTTCAAGCATCATCTCTTTGCGCTTATGTTTTAAGTAATTCTTAAAGTCCTTCCATAGCGGAGGTAGCTTTTCAATAAATGCCCCAACTTGAAATGCTTCATTTATGACCATACCTTCAGCAAGGAGGTCATGAACAATAACTTGCAATTCTTGGACTTATGTTATGACAGATTTACCGTCAACCATTTTGAAATCCAGAAATTTAGCGGCCACAAACTTCTTTAGTCTAGCATCTTCAGTCTTGCAATTCTTTTCAAGAGCATTCCACAATTCTCTTGATATTTTCATGACTCTATAAACATTGTACAAGTCGTCTTCCCAGCAACTTAAAATATAGTTTTTGCATAAGAAGTCAGAATGCTTGTATGCCTCAGTGACCACAAATCGCTCATTTTCAGGAGTTTCTTCTCCCAGAATTGGAACGTCTTCGCTGATAAAGCGCTGTAAACTGAGTGTGGTCAGGTAGAAGAACATTTTCTACTGCCAATGCTTAAAGTCCACACCGGAAAACTTTTCAGGTTTTTTCTGTCGGTGCCATTGCCGGTGCAGGAGTTGTGCGACTTGAAGACGCAGTTGCCATTGCAGCAGTAGTCCCAACATAACCATTTTGTTGTTCCGCACTTGTTGTCATTTTTCTGTAAAAGAAATTGACAAACAGAATTAGTATCTCGGTGAAGTTTTTATATCTTCAAACCGAATACAAGCAACCGAGTTTTTATATCTCGGATTGAGTAGAAAGTCACAAGCACCTTAATCTCAAACTGGAGTAGAAAATCCGAAGATTTTAATCTCCAAAATGGGAGTAGAAAATCAATAAGATTTTAGTCGCCCAAAACAGAATGTAAGATGAATACAGAAATAAATATTAAATTCTTTAAGCTTGTTGTCACTCTGTATTCAAAATCACTAAATCAATAAACGTTAGTTTAAAAAAAAAAAGCAGAGAAAATTCCGAGCCCACAAGTTTCTTGTATTTCCTTAAGGAATTTAATCCCCTCACAATGCCCAAGGTTGCGGATTAATTCCTCCCAGGATAGAACGGAATAACTATTCTGTGATAGCAGCATTTTAAATTACAGAATTTTGGCGAACTCAAATGGCGGAACAAATCACACAAAATGCTTACGTTTTGCTTTTAAATAACCAATGCAGTATGTAGAAAATTGAGGGGAGAGATTTCAGATTTTTCAGTGGTGAAAAATGAGGCTAAGCCTCTCTATTTATAGACAATAAAAGGGTGAGATGAAGAGGTGCAATCCAAGAGGTGCCTCTTCCATTTCACATTCGCACCCCAATGAAAGGGTGAGATGAAAATGTGCAATTCAAGAGGTGTCTCTTCCATTTCTCATTCACACCCAAGAGGTGCCTCTTCCATTTTCCATTCACACCTCTTAATAAAAATGCAACAATATCTTGATGCTATGATCATTGGAAATTACGTGGATGAAGATGAAAGGAACTCCTTAACAACCATAATTTTTTAGGCGTTTAAATTATTTATACTATTAGTTTATTTTTTTTTATATATTATCAGGACAATCAAAAAATATTTATAGTGAATCTTCTCAAAATATGGGATTTACAATATTGAAAATAAGATATGTCACTTACTGCAATAGGTAACTAATCTAATGGTGCAAAAATTCCTTACAATGACAAAACTTGAACTCATTTTTTTATGCTATTATTGAAATTATGTGTGATTTAACTAAAATCGTGTTTGATGTGAACCGCGTCTCTCCTTCTGTCTGAATGCATAGCAAGTACTCCGAAATACCAACATCAAAAGATTAACCCATGTAGCACTGTTTTCAAAAGCTACATTTTATTGCACTATTGGTGGACGGTAACAGCTCAAGAGGTTCCTATATGGGCCTTGTTCTAGTAAAGTACTCCCTTCGTTTCTAACCATATTTGACTCGACATGAATTTTAAAAATTAAGAAAGATTTTAGAAATTTACTATTTAAAATAAATCATAAATATTTATGTGATTATAAATCATCTCAATAATAATGAAGTAGAAAGTTTAAATTAAAATTATTCCAAAATAAAGATGACATTATCTTTAGAACATACCAAAAAGAAAAATATGATACTCTTAATTCCCTCCCAATTTACGTGAAGGTGTTCGGATTTCGAAGTCAAACGAATTAATATTTGATCATAATTTTTTATATGTCTTTTAAATATTTTAAATTATTAATTAGTGACTTGTAGTATATTTTATGTAGCTTTCAAAAATATAAATTTTAGTTTGAAAATTTTAAAAACTCTATGTCCAAACTCTAAATATATCGTCAAAATTAAAAAGTTTGAATCTCGAACTAAATGGGTACATACAGAGAAAGTAATTGATATGTACTGTTCACTTACGCAGTTCTTGCTGCATGTATCTGCTTAGGGACCCTCTACAGCTCTTCAGTGGGGAACAGACCCCCTTATGCATCTTTCAGTTTTTGGCGGCTGATAATAACATTTCCTTAACTTTGATAATAATGTTTCTTTGGTCTTAAATAATTATAACGTTGATTGCCTTAAATGAATTTGACGTTTTGGCATTGAATCCTAGATGGATTTTAACGTTTTTCATTACATCAGACGTCCATCTCCTTTGGACTATATATAAAAATATCTGCTTGTGTTCATTTGTAGCAGAGTGAAGAAACTTAAAACTTTTCTTCCCTTTCCCTTTGTTTACCCGAAAAATGGATAGAGTTGAATTTATACGCAGTTCCGAGGATATGTGGCATAACTTGATACAAAATGCAAGGATAAATAAAATGTAAATATAGATTGGAGAGAATGCAATCTAGATAAGGTTATCCAAAACAGTGAACCTTAGGATTCGACAAATAGAATCAATCTAAGAAGCTGGAAGAGCGATTCTTTACTGTAGAAGAATATAATACTTTTATTACAATGTAAGTCTTAGAAAAACTTGTCCTACAGAAATAATAACCAATCCCTTTTATAGTGGAGGGATTCGGCTCCAAGCATAATAAAATAAATATTCAGTGGGAGACCCATGATAAGTCAGTTTTTCCATAATCTCTGCCAAGATTCCCTCTAGTGGGATTGCAACGGCTTTTGTCTGCGAACTCGATCTCGCTTAGAATCCTCGATTTTGGTTCGAGCTTGATTTCGGCTTGAACTTGTGATCTTGGTTCGAGCCTGATCCTGGTTCGAGCCCTCGAATTGATTCCAGGTCAATGTTGGTTGGTCTTTGGATTATCAGCACGATAGGTCTACCCCGCGTCATGGTTCGATTCTTGTTCGAGTTTGATTATGATATCGATCTCGATACGGACTGGCCTCCCCGGGTTCGAGGTTAGTTCGTCCCCCCTTCGGGATCTTACTTCGATACATCACCCTTCGAACCATACCGGACATGCCAAGGCTGAAATCTATTTTGACCGTATACAGATAGTCCCCTCGTTTCTCAGAAAAAATATGGCGAGAAACGATATGATTTTCAACAGCTCGATCGGATTATATCATGTCGTTTCCATCGGGTTCGACCATGACGCATATGGTAGCTGTCCTATCGGTTTAGTCTTTCAAGGCATTTAATGCATGTCAGGCGGTGGTCGGCCACTACTGATACTGAACCGCCATCGTTTGAACCTATAAATAACCCTTACTTTTATCTTTTACCATTTTTACATCTTCTATCTTCCGAAATTTCCCAAGTTCTTCTTCGTACTCTCCAACTTACCAATAAAGCTGTGATTTCTTTCCGAAAAAACCCCTCTTCAATTCTACCAAATCTCTATCACTTTCTTCTATTCCTTACTTTTGAATTCAAAAATGGCGAAAACATCGCAAACCATTCCTCAGAAAGAGAAGGCTTCATCTTCACAGTGTGTCCCCGATGAGGCACCGGCCGAACCACGGCCTGAGGAGTGTGTTCCCGGGGCGTGCGTCCTTACTTCAGATTTTAAAGTTGATAAAGATTCATCGGTCCCTGGCCGGTATGAGCCGGTATCGAGGTATATGTGTTCGATAACCGAGAAGCACCTCGATCTATTAAAGAAGGATTGCAATTGGGGTGAAAAAGAAGTAATAATACCTACCCCTGACGAAGATATCACTTCTTACGTGAAAGGGTTTTTGAACGTATATACTTACCCTTTCACTTTGGGTCCCCTCGATTCCGTCGTTATTGACTTCTGTCGACAATATCAGGTAACCCTAGGCCAGGTCCATCCTTCTTTGTGGCGGATCGTTATCTTGATCCGATATTTTGTGAGCAAAATCGAGGGGATGTCGTTCACCCTCGATCATCTTATCCGGCTGTACCGTCCCCGACTTTTTCGAGGAGGGTTAATAAAACTCCAGCGTTGGGCTACCAAGGCTCTGTTCTCGAGTATTGATGAAGACAGGGACCGGGGTTGGATGGGCAGGTTCGTTCGAGTAAGGACTTCGTACCTAATCCCGACTGAAAAGATGCCCTTTCCCGAGGAGTGGAATATAAAACGTAAGTGTGATCTTGTTGTTGCTTCTATTTTGTTCTTCCATTTATTCTCTTATCGACACTCCTCCTTTTGTGATGTAGTGGTTCCCTGGATGCCCGGAGCGGTTCCCGATCTCAAGAACTGGGTACGGGCTCTTGTTTCAACCTCCACATATGCCGAGCGCTCATGGCGTGATTTGTCAAAGGGTCGATGGGAGGCCAAAAATCACGGTAAGCTCATTTCTCGGACTCTGATGATCCGAACGAGGCATTTCTAAAAATATTTTTTATAAGGTTTCCCATATGCAGGTTTGGGTAAAGACGCGGTCTTGAGGCCTCTGTCCAATGAGGAGGATGTTTCGATCTCCGTCCCAAAGCCGGTGAAGGAAAATAAAAGGAAGAGAGCCTCGATTCACGAATATCCAAAACCGAAGAAGAGGACGGCTCGTAAGCCGAACAAGAATGTCATTCCTTTGACCGTGGAATCCGTTTTGCGTCTAAGGGATGAAGATGAAGAAGAAGAAAAAGAAGAACAAGAGGACAATGAGTCCGCGCTGGCGGTCCGAACGAAGAGAGCCACCGATGCCTCATCGTCGGCTGGATAGATGATGCTCTATGAGGCACCGCCTCGAACTGAAGATATACCAGAGAAAGATTCAGGTAGAGTCCCTGAACTATCGGATGTCGAAGACGCCTCTCATCGGAGTCAACCGGCAGGGGTTACAATGGAAGAGCCCCTCGAACCCCTCCGAGCCGAGGGGAACGCTCCAAGCGAGTCATTTGGGGCAGCAGCGATCGAGGATTCGCCTACTTTTCTGGCTTTTTCCGCAGGGGTGATTCGGGAAGCTCAAGCTCTGGGTTCCCTCGATCTAGACAGGCCTCACAATGAAGAAGATCCGTTTCGTGACCTGTTACCGGTATCAAGGACGTTGCCGGTGCCGGTGATGAATCGGATCTTGTTCACGGATTGCGGCAGGCTTTGAATCAGGTGAGCCTTTAAAATGTTTTTGTAGGTACTGTCTTTATGTTCATTTTTCGTTAACTTCGCTTCTTGTTTCTTTGTCGGCTACGGCAGTCCATCGAGAACAATGTTCTCGTTCCCAGAATGAGCTGCATCGATACGCGGCCAACCTACACCGCGCTACTGACGAGAGGAACTCCCTTAGACTTTCCTTA